CTAAAAATATAATATAAAATTATAATTAACTTTATTACTAAAAATATACTATAAAATTATAATTAACTTTATTACTAAAAATTTGTTATAAAAAAAATATTATTAAAATAATTATTTTATTAATTTTATTAATAGTATTTTTTGATACTTGTAAAATAATTTTATAATTATTTGTGTATTGTTACAAATCAATGCTTACACATATCCATATACACATTTGTATATATATATATATATATATAAATTTTTATCTATAAAATAAAAAGAAAGAAAAATGAAAGATTAAAAAACGAGGAATGATAAATTGTAATAAAAGGTAAAACGGAAATGAAGAACTGTCCTAACAGGGACAAATTCTATTTTAGAGACAGTCGTTGACCGATGGAGTTTGGTTAGCCCGTACATTATGTACAATGGATACATCCTATTCGTGAATTTCCCATTGCTGAAAAGGAGGTGGAGGAGGCAACACATCGAAAAGCTAGGATGGTGAAACGTAATCAGATTTGCAGGGAGAGTGATGGCCTGTTCGTTTCCATTAACGTTTACACCGTCTCTACATACATCTTGTCCCTTCTTCCTTTTATGTTACATTTTGTGTAACAAAAAACTTCTTCTGTTGAAAACTTACAGAACCTAAAGAGACTTAGATAATCTCAACAATAATAAATTCTTAAATTATCAATAAAAAAAAAAAAAAAAAAAATAGAAAATAATCGCGATCAAAACTAATCCAATAATATTCTAAATTGAAACAAAATCACACAAAATAAATCAAATTTCATCAAAATCAATTGATTAATTATTTTCAAAACAGATTTATTATTTTAATAGACAAATTGTTCTACACGAAAAGATGCGTGTTAGATACCTACAAATCATGAATTATTATAAACGATATTAGAATAAAATATTTAACATCGTATTTTGAAGAATGAGAGTAATCATCTTGAAAAAAACTCTGCTACTTCAAGTATATTATGTAATTTATGTATCTTTTAAAACAATGACTCCATTAGATACTCCCAAGATAAATTTTAATAACATTTGCAAGGATTACAATTTAACAATGGTAGAGAATAAAAAATAACATTTACAAGAACAATTGATCGATAAAATTCATTTGACTTATTGTCAAAGTTTAAACGATTACATTTGAAATGGTAACTTTTGTTATTTCTATTTCTATCGTTTTCCCCCGTACACATTTAATTATCTTAAAAGCTTTTCTATATATCTCTAGGATAAGCTACTTTATTTCTCTTTCTATTACATTGTCGTCTGAAGTATTTCACGAGTAGTCGAATAAGAAGAATAAGAAGCAAAGAAGCTTTTAATAATTTAATTGAAATTAAATATTAATTTACGAATTTTTCTTTTCTTTTTTTGTTTTTTTTTATTCCTA